AGGGGACTTAAGGGCACTATCTTTGTCGGCACCACTGCCAGAATTGGACTCTGAGCCAAAGCCAGTATCGCCATCTCTGCTCTCTAATTCAGAGCCAGCCTCGGCATCCTCCTCACTCCCTGACCCCCGAGTGAGTATCATCATCCTCGCTCTCAGACGACTCAGAGCGTCGGCTCACTATCTCCTCAATGTCGCTTGTCTCAACATCATCCTCACTCAGAACTGGCTCCGAAGGAGGGGAGTTTTCCTCTGTCTCAGAATCATTGCTCTGAGCCTGAGCGCCTCTGCCTCTACCTCGACCTCAACCTCGATGCTCATCTCGACCCATACTGGGCCTGTCTACCTCTCCTCCCGATCGCTAAAGGAGGTGCTGCCTATACTACCAGTGCTGCTAGTGCCCTCGATACAAGTGGGATCTGAAAAGAAAATATTAAAGTATCAGATACAATATGTGTGTTGCAAAATGTAGTATGCAGTATGAAAATCATAAAGAAGCTAACTTCAGCTTGGATGCAGTGTGTCAGTGTAGTGTGAGGCAGTGTTAGAATACATATCAGTATGTCAGTGGGAATATGACAGTGTGGTGCACATGTGAATCAGCAGTGACATGCACGAGAACTAAAAAGGAAATATACCTGGATACCGTGAAAAGCGAGCAATGTCTCTCTTCTCTGCACCATGTGGACTAGAGAAGCAACCAGCTGAAGGAGGCCCTCCGTGTACTCAGTGGGCATCTGCAAGTGAATGTAAATAATCAGTATTTAAAAAAGGAAAATGTGGGATGCAAGTTGTAAAATGTGGTATATACCTGCGGTGCACTTGGAGCTCTGACGTACTTGTGCTCCACCTCCAGCGGCTCTATCGAAATCTGATAGGCCGTCCCACTCGGCCGCCAATAGGTAAGCACAATAGGGATCGCCGACCTCACAGTAGGAGGGGCCCCTCCAACATCAGCCTCAACCTCATGAGCTGCCTCTCTAGCCAAAGGGGCACCTGTAGTGTTGCCGGCGCGAACTCCGATCAGGGGTGGCATGAGGTGAGTCCCGATGAAGGCTGTGTAATCTCTCTCTCCTCTAAAGAAATCAACATCATGCCCGCCATGAACTGAATAATAGCCTCAATTAGGAGGCTATTCGCTGTCCTCATGGATGTTGGAGGGGAACAGGGACAACCGATGCTGGTAGGCCCATGGTCTGGCGCACGAACCTCTCGCCCAAAAACCAAGCCTACCATAATGGGCCCTCCAGTAAAATCCGGTACCGAGAGGTAGCCCAAGCCCTTCGTACTAGTCTCTGACTCCGGCTGGCACCATCGCCCATGGCTACCACGTGATCTGTAAATGGGAAATTTACTTGTTAGTTACTGTCAGTTGTCAGAGTATGAATCAGAACAGTAGCAACGAAAATAAAGCAGAAATAGCTATATGTTTCGGATTACCTCGCGAGCCACCACCATTTCAAAATAACGATGGAAGAAAGCGAATGTCATGTCATCACGGTGTCGATGGCGGCACCTACCATCATACTGCCGCTAGTAGGGCACGGCCGGTGCTACCTCTTCTACCGGTACCGGGGCGAGGGATGGGAAATAAGAATAAGCCCAAAGCTGCAAAGAGCGACCAGTTGTGGATCAATATGTGTGAACAGATATGCGAAACAGAAAGTGCAAAGCAGAAGGCACAGTGTGTGACTAGTGTAAAGGTAGAAAGTGCAAAGCAGAAAGCACAATGCATGGACAAATATAAAAGTAGAAAATGCAAAACAGAAAGCATAAAAAGGAAACAGAAACTGAAAGTGCAGTGTGTACCTTATAGGCTCTCTAATAGCCTCCGATCTTGTTCCCCTTCATGTGGGAACTAAAGCTCATGTAACCATGGAGTGTGGCAAGGCCAATGCCACCCCAATCATAAAATTGGACTCAAGGCAAGGTTACAAAGGCGCTCAACAGATATAAACCCACAGTATTGGGTGTACTGCTCTACCTCTTCCTGAGTCTCAGGCTGATTCTTGCTGAAGTGCTTGAGGAACCAACTGTATCTGACCATAGCTAGCCTGTATAAGAGGTGGGCTGGCTCCAAGTAGGTAAATCCAGGCCGCCTCCCACTGGCCCATATCCATGTCAAAGGGAATTGGATCACCCCCTACACCTAAGCCGGTGATCATCAAGAAATCATAGGGGGTCATCGTCATCTCCCTGGTAGAAGAGAAGTGGAAAGAGTTGGTGGTGTCCCACCATCTCTCCACCAATGCTTCGAGTAGGACCTGGCTAGCCATATGGCATGAGAGCCCGATGCAGAATAGGCTAAGCCCACCTCATCGACAGGATCGCGGACCTGAGCGGGGAGCTCGTGATACCAGTTCCTAGCCGTCACTGTCCCATATCCTCTCCATGAGCAAGAATCCTCATGTGACAAGGAAAGAATTAGTCAGATGAAAGACAATGATTAAGGTCACCTAATTAGCATTCTTAATTACTGTTTAATGACAGATTACGGATTAGAGTTATTATAGAAACCCAGAGGTCGAGGGCTTTGGCCATACCTATATCCATATTTCAGTGCTTGACCGAGTCCATAGAAGCGACCTCAAGCCTTAGCATAACTCACAAATCGTCCATAGGCTTTGCCGCGACCTCAAACCCTTCCTCTGTCGTTATTACTGGTCTTTCCTAAGATGACACATGGTTCATCCTGCCTCTACAGATATGTCTTTGCCCACCACCACAGCCTCTGGTACGAGCTCTTTCATGTTCCAAGTCTAAGTCTAGAACAATAGCTCACCTGAGCTATCATTAGAGGAGTTATCATTGTTTGGGTAGTGAGGGAGATTAACCCTGAGAGGAGAATGAGGAAAAAAGGGAGGAGGAATATTTTTAGCCATGAAAATGGAGTGAAAGTGCTGAGGACACCAACAATAATGGTTTCTAGTGGCTATAAGGAGCCTTCAAATGGTTTTGCGCCTTTTCGCAATTGTCAAAAGTTGACAAGTCAAATCTACCCTAGTGTCACTCGATTAGTCCAGTAGAATGGTTACTTAACCAGCTGAACAAGTTTTGTTTTCGGTAGAATGAGAAGATCTGAGAAATCTCCTTAGACTGATTCAATGTGCTTCAGTGTACAAAATGGGCCCAGTTTCAGCTAGAGCAGGGGAAGTGATGTGTTTTAAATCTCAAAATGGCAACGTGTGTTAAAATTGGGGCAAAGCAATAGTTGAGGATCATCCATTGGAAAAAAAGTAGTTATATATATGTATATATATATATGAGCCAGAACGGCGAAGTTGATTACAAAAAAATAACTACAAAAGTGTTCCTTAAGGTGATAGTTATATCATAACCTAACAAACTATACAAGGGGCAAAAAGCCAAAAGGATAACGCAAAGTGGGACCAATCAAAGACATGAGCTAAGCAGCAGGTGCGGCCATCTTAAGAGATAATGGAATGCCAGCCCCGACGAGCTCGTCATCATAATCGCTGGGGGCATCGCCAGGGTCGTTATTACTATAGTATGGGTCATTGAAGTAGCCATCAAACTCATCACTCTCCTTATCATCATCACTACTGATGACAATCACCTCTGGAGGAGGAGTAACCTCATCATCCTGCAAGAAGAAGAAGTGAGAATCGTTAGTTGAAAAGCAAGTATACAAGCAATTCGGAAAATGATTAGCTTCGGGTATGGCTAAAGAAACTAACCTCATCAAAGAAGTTCGGGAAATGTGAAGGGAATGGACCTAGAGGTAGAGGGTCTCATCCTCATCCTCGTCCTCTCACACGGCATTAGCCTCTACCTTCTCCAGGTCATTGGCCTGGCCTGTAGTATCAACCCCGACCGTGAGCCCAATTTTGAACAAGCTCATGACCCACTGCTCGTCCACGGTTTCCATTACCACCATGAGCTCATCCTTGGCCTTGTCTCCTTGCATAAGTTATAGCATAGGCTAGCTCCAAGTCCACATTCTCCGTTATGACCATAGCAATTGCTTTGGCAATAGTGTTCCCGAAGGAATTGCCACTGTTCTTCGAGGTATTGGGTTCATCGAAACCAATGGGAGAACCGGGATGAAAGGGAAGCAAATGGTTTCAGAGAGTTTGGGAGGTGTTTTCAAATAGAAATGGATAAAAGACGGATGGTCGTGCCTTTTTATAAACTTTCAAAGATATGAAAATTCAATTATGTCCTTGGGATTGCCCGATTGGGCCGGCCAGCTATAGTTTCACTCGGTCGAACACTTTATGATCTGGGCAAAGGATCATCAGTAGTATGTTGGCATGAAAGAATTCAGAAGTGCACAGTTGTTATCTTATTCTAAGTTGCAGTCATTCAGTGGCTCCATTGAGGGAAAGGTTTTTCCCCTATTGTGTTGTGTTTTTCCTGCATTTGCCTTAGTGGCAAGATGCTTCTATTGTTGCAATCACCCTCTACGCGTGCAAAGTGGTTCGGGTTATCGGCCCTCAAGTGATACCATCCAATGCTCAGGTTGGAGGTTAACACTGCCCTTCCCCTCTCTCGGATTGTGGTGTGTTTGGGATTTCACTACAACAAAAATAGTCTTTAGAGACGAAAACTAATGACGAAAAACATGAAATACATACCTTTTAATGACGAAAATAATATTTCATCTCCAAATGTACCATTTTTAGAGACAAAAATAAAATTTCATCACCAAGCTAAATACATTAAAAAAAATTAGGTGACGAAATTATTTTTCGTCATTATTTATATTTTTTTTGTCGCCAAAGATTTTCCCGCTAATTTTTTCGGAGGGTGCCAAAATTTTGAGACTTTTGGTAAAGAAAAAATTGGTCACCAATTATAAAATTATTAATGACGAATATATTTTTGTCACCAATAATTTTTAATATTTTAATATCATTTAGTGACAAAACTATTTTTGTGGCCAATATTTTTATCTTTGGTGAAGAAATAATTTTGTCACCAATAAATAATTTAATCACTAAACCCCCCCCCCCCAAAAAAAATCAAAAGCCCCAGCTCCCAACATCAATCTATACAGGGAAGAACAAAGAACACAATTCAAAGGGGGAAAATGAGAAGAGAGGGAGAAGATAGAGGGTTCGAAGGGGAAGGCAAGGGTTTCAATGTCTCTCTTTGGACACTTCGATGGTATGGCAAGACTAGTTCGGCGATGATAACGATCAACGATACTACTCATCTCATCTCTTCTCTTCTCCCTCAAACATCTACATACCTAAACGATTGTCAAGCATAAGCTTATAATCACTCCCTTTGATGAGGCTAAGGCCGCAAATGGCAAGAATGATCTCGCGGTGGAGATGGTCGGCGTAGATGAGGTAGAGAGGGCCGTGGCCATGGGTTTGTCGGGGTTGAGGCGGTTGAGGGGAATTAGGGGTGCCTCTCTCTCTCTATATATATGTATGTATGTATGTATGTATATATGTATGTATGTATATGACTGTTTTCAGATCCTGATGATTCTTATCTCTACTACCATTACTTTGTTCACAATCTAACTACGATTTCTCAATTCAATCTTCACTTGTCTTAAGGCTATTTGGATTCATCTTTATATCTTAATCTGTATATGCATATGTGAAATTAATATTTCAAACAATTGTGCATTTTTATTGATAAAGTTTGCCCCTTTTTTCAAATCTTGAATAGTTTTCTTGTGTTATAAGCTAATTTCCATCTACTCTAGTGATTTTTAGCATTCATTTTTTAAGTATTTGGATATGGGTCAAGCAGATGGTATAGGCTTTTCTAAATTTTTATTTTATTTTTAATTTTATTTTATAGCTACTGATATATGTTGTGCACTTGTTTCATTGTAATTCAGACATTTTGTCTGTTCCAAGCTTGTGTTTATTCTTTGGTGGGATGAAGGAGTTGAAAATCTGATTAGAAGGAAAGGAAATGAGGAGAGGGAGGGGATTTAATGGATCATCTGGGTGGATAAGCTTATGGCTGTAGATAGTGGAAGTAAATAGATACAATTGAGAAATGGAAAGGTTAAGGGGAGTGCTGATGAGCATAGAAATGGAGGATGATAAGGGTACAAAAGGCCAAATAAAATAAGAGTCTTGGTAGGGATCCCTAAAACAAGAGTCTAGCTAGGGTTGTGCCATAGGTGTTTGATTCTGCACATATCAACATCTGACATGTAACAGTCCATCTCATTAGGGATAAATTTAGGGGTCTCAAGCTTTTTCATAATACAATATTGGAAAAGACCATGAGAAAGCAAGCAACTAGAGAGACAGGGAAGCTCTCATGTAGGAGAGAGTTGTCTTATGTATCAATGTATAATACTGACATAATTCCCACCTCCCACAGGGAAAATAAAAATTTGTTTTTACTTTCAGATCAAGGTCAATTCTTCAGGTCATAGCTTGTGTTGGCTTCATACTAAACTTGCTTCATTATCCTTTCCAGTCCTGATTGAACATGTGCCAGTGGATTGCATCAGTTTTTATATATGGCTGTTATTAAGATGGCTTAAAAAGATTATACATTCTTTATGTTCTTTCAGGCAGAATGTACAATCTATTTAAGCTTCTTAACATGTGCCTTAAGGGCGCACATTGAACAAATCCTTTTTGTATTTGTAGTTCTTGACTTACCTAAGAACTTTTAGCAAATTGTACATCCATTGATTATCACTTGTTTGTGCTCTTCATCCGCATGATATACTCTCTCATAAACATGGACATGTTCAAAATGAATTTCTGTGAGCATGAATTGTTCTGGTTTTATGAACTTAGTGGTATGTTTAATACTAACTATGTTTATAAATAGGGGTTCTCATGAGCAGCAAGCTCAGCCAAGTCCACAGGAGATTCCTACAAATTCATGGTATCCTCCATTTGAGAGATACCACTAAGTTCAGATGCATATTTTGTAATCATGATATGTATCATGTATCATTGTTATGATATATCATATTGTGTATCGTTTAGATGCATTAACATATATGAATATACATTTAAAAAATAAGATTTCTAGAAATGTGTCTTTGATTACTTTTAACAGTATGTGAAATAGAGTACAATTTCCATATTAATCAGTTAGTGTGAGTTGAAACTCCAAAATTGCGAATGAAGGGTTGAGAGGAGGGCAACCAAGTTTTTAATTTTTAAACCAAAGACAAAAGCAATTTTTTTAAGTTTTGGGGTTTGGTAAAAGTGACATCTCTTTTGGAAAAATAAATTGTTACATTTTATTCTCTTGAAACTGCAATAGTCCATTGTTTTTCCCCCAAAAATTTCAGGTTCTTTTTTCTGTTGACAAATTCATAGGCTTAGGTTCTTCTTTCTCTTTGTATGAATGCTTGCATCTGCTGTGTTATTTTGTTTTCTTAGGGAATTTGACTTCTTAAGCTTGATGTTGTAATTGTTAAGATTATGCTTGTAGGCGTAATTACTGTTTTTTAAGATCACCTCTGTTGCGTTTTCTAGATTGTGAATTTCTTCATATTTTAGTTGGTTCTCATTTATACCCTAAGAATCTAGTCCTCCACCTTGGAAATCAGCTCAACTTCAGTGTAGAAGGTTGGTGTATGATAAAATTTTACATTAATTTTTAGTTGGTCATAACTAAAACTCACAAATCCATTCCGGAAATCTAGATCTAAAAGATAACATTGAATTAATGTTTAAAAAGCCATACTAATTGTATCTGTCAGGTGGAAATCTTAGTCTGAAGACAAAGTGGAGCTTTAAGGTAATTGTTACTTTTCCATTTTCCTTTTTATGGTAGGATTAAATGATCAAGTGTTTGGCCGTTGGTTGAGTGCCAATGAAAGTGTTATCTATGTGGACATGATATCTGGAAAAGATGAAGCCATTAGGGAAGGTACTACTTGAGGTATTGAGCAGAATATTTTTCCCTTTGCTGTTCTAGATTTTCAATAAACTATTTTATTGGATTTCTTGTCTCTGTACTTTTTATCATGATTTGAATAGCTTGAATATAATGGTGCTGATTTACCTTGTCTAGAACTCATTTCTTCAAACAGTGATCTTTAAAAATTCAAGTTTGAAACTGCAAACAGCAGTTACAGTGTTGAAAGGGACTATTGTGTTTATTGATGATCCCAAAGAGATGTTAACAAACGTTCCCATCCCAGCAAAAGGATTCAGCTTCCCTGTGAGGTTCGGGTTTGTAAATTGGCCTTTTTGTCTTGACAGCAACTAGAATTTAGCGTATCTTTATGTCCATTGCTTGGAAGCTAATGATATTAAGATTATTTCCCTAGATTTCATTTTGGTCATACATTGTCTATAATTTCTGAAATTTGTGTCTTTGGAAGACAAATGAACTTGTAGAATTTACATACTCAAAATAAAGGTTCTGCCTTGAGAATTTCTTAATTGAGCATGTTCAATTCAAACTTTTTCTTTTCTCTTATGTGCTGCTTCCTTAAAGATTCTTGCGTAGAAATTTCTCTGCCTTGACATTGTAGTATTTGAGTCATCGACTTTGTGAAAATAGCTTGTCTGCTTCCTTAATTGCTAATCAAACCGTCTACAACCTTTCCAGTGGTGTTTCAATTACGTTTCCTTTCCAAAAGTTATATGAAAACTTTTTTAGAGCATTTTTCTTTTCGTGAGTGTATACATTGCTATTTCTTTGTCGATTTGTCTGAAATCCTAATATACGAAGTTGTTTATTGTTCAATTTACAACTTGCAAAAATGATACAGAATCTCTTGGAAGCTTGTACAAACAAATGCAATATGAGAAAAGAAAATTTTGCATGTTTTCATCGTGAGGAACATTGCATCAACTCCCTGCAAAGAGTTGGGAGGGGTGGGAATTAAGAGACTAGGAAGAAATTTGATAATCACTTTGTGTGTACAGGATTATTTGGCACTTGTTACACTGTAAGAAAAATAAAATGAAAAATTCTGATGAAAATGTTTCAGTATGTGTTTCAGTATCACCTTTAATCTTATGTTGTTTGAGATTTCATTTATATTATTGCAAATTTTTTAGATTTTTAGGTGGTTCTATTTCATTTTGATAGTTTATCTCGATGGATTTGATCTCCATTGCTTGTATCTTCAACAACCTTTTTTCAAATATTGGCTTTCATTATGTGCTGTTAACTTGTATATGTTTGGCATCCCGTCACTATTAAATAACATACAAAAGTATTTGTTCTTCTAATTGATCTATTTGTTTTGTTGTGAAAGTGATGATCATTACCACAAGTCTGAAGCTCCTCAGAACGATGTGCAAGTCCTGTATGACTGTAGAGTGCACCTACATTTTGTCGGGTTTGTTCCTGTCTTGCTCTTTGCTCTTGTTTTGCACGAAACAACTAATCTACAATTTCATCCTTCAATGTTGCTTTTATTCTTATGGATTGTAGATATGCAAAGCCATAGAAGGATCTCTCTGGAAATTCATATTGCCTCTTCTTTCCTTACTCTCCGGAGCATTTAGTACATCTTATTCCCAAGTCAAAAGACATGAGGTAAATTCCATTTTGTTTTCTTTTTGTTGAGCCATCGAACTTCATTTTAACCTTCCATTTCTTAATGTTGTTTTATCACTTCCTCCTTATTAGGGTAGCTAATTTCATCTATATGTCCTTGTCAAAACGTAAGAAAAGTATAGGAGTGCCACATTGCCATTAAAAATTTTTGATAACTAAATCATAGAAATATAGAAAGAAAGTTGCAATGGCTAAAGGTGATTACAAACTAAATGTATGTTTAGATTTTGAATTGGATTGTTAGAGAGAGAGATAGAGAAGGAAATATGAAAACTAAATCAAAAAATGCACTTTTTAAAACTTAAGCTTGAAAATAGGCCATCGGAGGCCAAAATCGTGTAACATCCACGAGACGGCCCGGGAGCACCTCAAACACGTCAAAAGGGACCAATGTAAGTTGTGAAAACTTACTGAACTAGCATGGGACTCCCGGTTTGAAAACTAAGTCCAAAAATATACTTTTTCACACTTAAGCTTGAAAATAGGCCATCAGAGACCAAAATCGTGTAACAACCACAAGACGGCCCAAGGAACACCTCAAACACCTCGGGAGGGACCAATGTAAGTTGTGAAAACTTACAGAACTAGCACGGGACTCCCGGTTTGAAAACTGAGTCTAAAAATACACTTTTTTCATACTTAAGCTTGAAAACAGGCCATCGGAGGCCAAAATCGTGTAACAGTCATGAGAAGGCTTGGGCAACACCTCAAACACCTTAGGAGGGACCAATGTAAGTTGTTAAAACTTATAGAACTAGCACAGGACTTCCGGTTTGAAAACTAAGTCCCAAAAGACACTTTTTTCATACTTAAGCTTGAAAATAGGCCATCAGGGGGCCAAATCGTGCAACACCCATGTGACAGCCTGGAGAACACCTCAAACACCTCGGGAGGGACCAATCTATATTGTGGAAACTTATGGAACTAGCACGGGACTCTCGATTTGAAAACTAAGTCCAAAAATGCACTTTTTCACACTTGAGCTTGAAAATAGGCCATCGGAGGCCAAAATTGTGTAACAGCCACGAGACTGCCCGAGGAACACCTCAGACACCTCAAGAGGGACCAATGTAAGTTGTGGAAACTTACGAAACTAGCACGGGACTCCCGGTTTGAAAACTAAGTCAAAAAAGGCACTTTTTCTAACTCTGAAGCTTGAAAAGAGGCCATCGGGGGCCAAAATCGTTAAACAACCACGAGAAGGCCCGGGGAACACCTCAATCACCTCTGAAGAAACCGTTGTAACTTGTGTAAACTTACGTATCTAGCATGGGACTCTCGGTTTGAAAATGAAGTCAAAAAAGGCACTTTTTCCAACTCTTAAGCTTGAAAAGAGTCCATCGGGGGCCAAAATCATTAAACAACCATGAGAAGGCCCGGGGAACACCTCAATCACCTCTGAAGCAACTGTTGTAACTTGTGTAAACTTATGTATCTAGCACGGGACTCCCGGTTTCCAACTCTTAAGCTTGAAAAGAGGCCATCGGGGGCCAAAATCGTTAAACAACAATGAGAAGGCCCGAGGAACACCTCAATCACCTCTAAAGCAATGGTTGTAACTTGTGTAAACTTATGTATCTAGCACGGGACTCCCGGTTTGAAAACTAAGTCCAAAAATGAATTTTTTCAACACTTAAGCTTGTAAATAGGTCATCGGGGGCCAAAATCTTGTAACAGGCACGGGAAGGCCCGGGGAACACCTCAAACACCTCGGGAGGGACCAATGTAAGCTTTGGAAACTTACAGAACTAGCACGGGACTCCCGATTTGAAAACTAAGTCGAAAAATGCATGTTAAATTGTATATTTACTTGATAAGATAATAATTGTCTTACTTGCATTCTTTTTTGTTTTTGTTTTTGTGTTTCATTTTTTTGCAGATTCGAGATTTGATATGGACGTGTTTGGTAATTTGGAGAGCAGAAGCTAGGTCATTTTGTATTTTTGTTCATATTACCTTACATGTATTTTGGTTGCGTTGTAAATTTTTTATTTTTGTTGGTATTACAAGACATGTTTGGTGATCCGCACTTGATATTATATTTTTGTTGATATTAGTAGACATGTTTTTTGTGGATATTAGGAGACATGTTTGGTAATCTGCATGCGGTTGATATTGTATTTTTGTGGATATTAGTAGACATGTTTTTTGTGGATATTAGAAGACATGTTTGGTAATCCGCATGCAGTTCATATTGTATTTTTGTGGATATTGCTGAAATTCGATTGTGATGTTTATGAAAATGAACAGATTTTTGTATTGAGTTGTAATAGATATTATATTGAACAGGTTATTGAAATGTGCAAGGAATTTTTACTGAAAATAAAAATTTTAATTTCAAAATAGCACCCCCATTTTAAAATTTTTTAATTATTATTAGCGACGAAATAAAAAAATGTCGCTATTAGATTTCAAAAAACATGACGAATAATTTTGTCACTAATGATGTAGTACCAAACAAATAATTTTGTCACATTTGCTGAATATTCCGTCGCTAAATTGAAATGTTTAGTGACAATGTTTTTTGTCATTGAAGAATTTTCTTTTCTGCTCATTTTAGTGACGAATTTTTTTGTCACCTTAATCTATATCATTGGTGAGGAAAACTTTTGTCACTAAAATCTATTTGGTGACGAAATATTTCACAGCCAAAAACAATTAAAATAAAATATTATCTAGTTTTAGTGATGAAATTGATGTTATAGAGGACGAAAAATGCAACACTTGGAGATGAAAAATTTCGTTGCAAAAAATGAAAAATAGGCAACAAAACTGTTTTTCATCACCAGGTACTTTTAGCGACAACGTATAGGCAACAAACGTGGTGACAAAAATTTTTCGTCACAGATCACTTTAGTGACAAAAATTTGATATTTGGAGACAAAATCAATCTATCACCAAAGGCCTTTTTTGTTGTAGTGTTTGTTTTGGGGTTCACCTTTGTTGACTTCCAATCAGGATTGGAGTTCCCTATTACTATGACTGTCAGTCACGTACGAGTTTGGCTTCAGCCTTAGTTAATACCATCCCCTGATCGAGTTGAAGGTTAACACCACCCTTCCCTCCCTCTCCCACTGCAGGATGTTTGGGGTTTGTTTCAAGGTTCACCTTTATTGACTGCCAGTCAGGATTGAAGTTCCCTATCACTGTGACTGCTGATCACTTGTGAGTTTGGCTTCGACTTTTGGTTAATACCATACCCTTATGAGTTAAACGTTAACACCACCCTCCCTCCCTCTCACGTTACGGCGTGTTTGGGATTTATTTCAGGGGTTCACCTTTGTTAACTACCGGTTAGGATTGGAGTTCCCTATCACTGTGACTACCGGTCACGTACGAGTTTGGTTGTGACCGCCTTTTCTTTTCTCACATTGCGACTTGTTTGGAGTAAGTTGTGGAGTTCCCTGTCGTTGTGATTGCTAGTCACAAGCGTGTTTCGTTTCACCCACCTTCCTTCCTTCGTGTGAAGCGCGTTAGGACTTTTTTTTTTCTTTTGTTATGTTTGCATTGTTTAGCATGCTACATGTCATTTGTACAACGTTCTCATCTTTTTTTTTTCCCCATCTTTGCAGCTTTATCTTTGTTCCACGTTGTCACCTTCCATGGCATTCGCATCATCAAATATTTCAATATCTGGCAGTGTGGTACATGTAAGCCCAACTCTTAAACCGCGGCAGCACATGGTTTTTAAACCCAACTTTTCAAATGTATTTCAAGTATAGCATTTGTATTTTGCCTCTAAACTACGCTGGTTTGATTCCTTGTAGAAGGATACATAAGCAACCCTCGGGTTCAATCAATTACATTTTCATTTTGTTTGTTTGCCCAAGCCATGTGGTCTTGTCAAACGGGTTGCCTTCAAGCTTTGACATTCACTTATGTCATGAAATAACGCATTGAGCTATGTTAAAGAGAGGCAACTGTAGACACCCCATTTTTTACTAGCCATAAGACTTGGGCACTCTTTCTTGGGTATCCAATGATGAAAATAAGATGTCCTAGTCCTATGAATGTTTCAGCAAGAAATCTAAGGTTTGAGTCCTTAAACCATCCAAGCACTTGTTTTGGTCAAAATGCTTTTTAGCTAGTGGAAAACCTTTTTCAAAATGAGTTGGGTTGTATAGTTCCAAACATTACCAACATGTCCCGAGGCTCATTATTTCTCAACCTATAGTGTCATGCATTTTTAAATAAACTGAGCAATGGACACAGTGGGAATTAATGGAAGGGATAAAATCCTCTGAAATACATATTTCTCCTTTTAATTTGTGCCAACTTTACCTTGTTGGTCCAACAATGTATTTTCTAACTAGCTAGTGTAGACACCCCATTTTTGACCATCCTCAAGACTTGGATGTCACCGTTTGAACACTCGGTGATTATCCATGTTTGTGTTCGTTTGGAGTTCCCGGAGGTCTCGGCTACGCGCCTTGCCTCAGGATCTCCGAACTTGACTATTTAGTGTCTGGTTTCACACCAAACACTTGTGTTTTGCCTTGGAAGGGGAGGGAATGCCTTGTGAGACATCCCCACACACCACCGGCAGTGGCTAGATGCCACCGGCTGGTTTTTGCTTCCATCGGCAATCTTTTCTGCCGGTCGGCACATTTTGTTTCCGGTTGGCACTCTTTTTTGTCAAAATGA